GCCTGAGCAGTTGGTTCCTCAGGACGCTGCAGTCCTGTGTCATGTCTTTGATGGTGGGTTCATCCAACATTGGTTTGTAGACTGGCTGCTTGCCATCAGACTGGATGGGCCGAGAAGGAAACCGTGAAGTCTTGTGATTGTCATAATTATTAAAGAAATGAAGCCTGAAAGAAAGAAATCCACAAGTTAGCAGGAATCGGTCACAATGCTGGGTTTAGTGTATTTTTTTTTATTTTTTTTTTACTACTTTCATGTTCTTGTTCACTTTTGTTGTCGAAGCCTGACCAACCTGCTGTCATGGAAGGACTGATCTGAGCCACTCCAGCGGTGCTGTTTGCGTCGCTGCCCCTGCTGGCCACCTCTGTCTGAGCGCTCCATGAGAGACATGCTGTCAAAGTCTGAAAGAATTTCGAGCAAGGGTGAGACAGCAGTAGTAATATACATATATACAGAAGAAACAACAGAGAGGAAAGCGTGTGATGGAGTTCTAGTTGGAGAAGAAAAGAAAAAGTTAGATGCAAATATAAGAGGATGATTCTCTTTGCTCTACTTTTAGGGGAAAAAACTCAGTATTAGGCCACACTTATACAGCTTTGTCTTAAACTATGACTGCAACAAAATTGACAGCTGAGAAAACAGGGTTCCCAGGAAATCAAAATTACCTTTGGCTTTTTATGTGTGAAATACTCAAATAAGCATGAAAGCAGATAAAGACTGCAAACCCCATTCAAATTAATTTAGGAGCCGTGTTTAACATACTTTACCTAGAGCGTCACCACATAGCACAGGAGCAGACAACCCGTCTGATATGTAGCCGTTACATTCCTGGGAACTAAAGAGCCTTCAATGACTCTTTTTGGATCGGATAAAGTCCTTTAGAAAGAAGTACAAACTGAATAAGAAAAGTCCATGAATATAGATAAAGTCAGGAACACACTAAAGAGAATCTATGCCTTGCCTATTTAACTGATGATTTGTTAAAAGGCTAGGGAAAAAGTGAGCCCAGCTCCCAGGCTGTCTGACCCTGCCTTTGTTGACGGCCTTGTTTTTCTGGGAACTCCCTTGGAGCTGGAGCTGGAGCTAGTAGGGGAGAGAGAGAGAAGGCTGTGGTGGTGAGAGGAGAGCAGGGGAGGTGACTGGTGAGTGTCCAAGCAAGGAAGTGGCCTGCTGGGAGAGCGAAGCTGTGTCCTTTCTCCCTTCAAGAGGGCTGACAGCTGGATGAAAACATATCACAAGTCCTCTTCTCCGTTTCTTTCTACTTTTCCTTTTCCTGTTTTGTGTCAGAGTTTTAGGAGAAACTGCCTACCCTTTGCCACATCTCAGGGCCTGCCCTGCAGGCTGGATTTAACTGAACTCCTCAGTGTGTGTTGCTGTTACTTTGCCTCTCGTGACACGAACTCTACCCGTGACACAGAGGGCTATAAATATGGCTGCTACCCGAAAAGGAGTAGGAAGAGATGATGCTCCAATTTACATTCCTGCAGAGTGAACATTCCCTTCCCTCCAACCCTCTCCTGTTCTCAGAAATGAGGAGATGACTGTTTACATACAGCATATACGAAATTGCAACTTTATTAGATATGTTCTAGGTTTCTGTTAAAGTAATTCAAAAAGCTAGTTTAATTCACTTTATGCTTGCTTTTGGTCAGCACCAAGAATCTAACTTGCCTAGTTTAACCTCTTAGGATTGGAGTTAGGGAGGCTGAAGTAGATTGCTGTTTGAACCAAAAGAAAAATATGTCTTTGCAGCTACATTATTAATAACCCCATTTGGTAACTCAAATATGGTCCAATACAATATACTGTCAAGATAAAGAGAAAGTAAATCACTTGTATGCAATTAAAGCATATATTATCCAATTTGTACCAGGTTCTAAAATTATTTAACTGTACACAAAGGGTTCAAAACTAATTTTACCATGTAATCATTTATTCATGTTATTCATTTGCCTTTACCTTTTCAACATTTTGTCACATGACAAAAACAAACCTTGCAGTATTTTACTGGGATTTTATGATAGAAAAACACAAAGTGGTGTATGATTTCGACATCGGAAAAATATGACACAAGGTTTTCCAAGTTTTTGAAGTATTTTGTGCATTTGTGTTCAGCTCTCATAAGTCATCAATGTGTAGAACCACCTGAAAACTACAGCCGCAAGTGTTTTTCGTATGCCTTTACCAGCATCACCACAACATGATGCTGCCACCACCATGTTTCACTGTAGGGATGGTGTGCTCAGGTTGACCTGCATTGCTAGTTTTCTGACACAGTGTTTTGCATCTAGGCTAAAAAGTTTAATTTGGCTCTCATGTGACCAGAAAGGCTTCTTCCACACGTTTGCTGTGTCCCGTACATGGACTATGGCAAACTAGACACCAGACTTATCATGACTTCTTCTGAACAATGGCTTTTTTTCTTGCCACTCTTCAACAAAGTGTATAATTGATATTTGTCCTGTCAACAGACATTTCCAGGGCATCTGTGTAGCTCCTCCTGAGTAACCCTAGGTCTTCTTTGCTGCTTCTCTGATTAATGCTCCCATGACCTAATCTTAGGTGAATGGGCATGTTTTGGTAGGCTTGCAGTTGTGCCCTTACTCTGTATTCATATGTATATAAGTATATTAACAGTGAGATCTTACATCTTGAAATATTGTTACATTATCTAATCCTGCCTTAATCTCAACTTTACCCTGACAGTCCTGGTGTGTTCCTTGGTCTTCATCATGCAGTTTGCTCACTAATTTTGAGGCTGTATTTGTGCTAGAATTAGTTTGCACACATATGGATGCCACTTAGCTATAAGGTATCTTCTGAAAGCCAGTTGGTTGCATTGGATTTTATTTAAGAGTATCAAAGTAAGGGGGATGAGCATAAATACAAACAACACTTTTTACATTTTTTTTTTACAATAAAAAAGTGAAGACAAAATGGAAATGTTTATGATAAATCCCAACAAACAAATATGTAGAAAAATATGTATATGTATTTGTTTGCCATGACTTTATGAGACCAAATTAAATCATTCTGGACATGAAAACCATAGAAAATAAAAGGATATGATTTCGGTTGTGATTCAACACATGTTTAAAGCACTTTTTAAAAAAGCCGGACACTACTGACATCATAAAAACAGGCTTTAGGACACAAAGCTCTAGCATAACACCAAGTTATTATTTCAAAAGTTTTTTCTAATAAGGAGCCATTGGTGTCCTAATGCCCCTTTACAACCTCATAATGTACAAACAACAGCATATAGAAATGCTCTGTAGATTGAATTTCATGGCACCTAAAGGGACCGTTGTTTGTCCAAACTAAGCCTGCCTGAGTCATTCACAGTGAACTAGTGCATTAAACCCATTAGCAATGAATCGTCAGGCTTCGAGACTGACAAAGGGAAGTTCATTTCCAAGAATTCATTATATTTCATGACAAGAAAAGGTCAATCCTTGCCCCTTATTTTCACTCTACCAAACAACATAATGCAACACAACCTCAAAGGGGCAAAATGATGTCAGCTCTGTTATTATGTGGCAATACTATGACCTGATTACCTTTAACACCCACAAAGAAATTATTTTTTCAGTCTTAATAAGATGCTGTCTACTTGTTTGTATTTGAAAAGTGAAAATGGGAAAACTTATGAGACTTTGACAGACATGATATGAAAGTGGAAGTTGGTGATGGAAGGTGCAGCTATTAAGCTATTAAAGTAATCATGCCTACATCACACCGCTGTTGTCACGGGAAACGTGTTCAAGTAGCTTCTACACAAGTGCACTCTGGTTTTCTTGCAACAGTAATTGTCAATCATGCACATCTGTGTGCATCTGTTCATAAAAACAAAGCCAGACAGCTGGATAAAAACACTGCTCCAAGTTGGCTGAGGAGAATTCAGTCATAGTCTGGAGTTGTCATTTAATAATTCTTTCCAAAAAGGCAAATATTAAAAGAGTGACAGGACATAATACACAGCAAGGCATCTATTAAACAACTTTAATGAATGTTGCTATGGCAAATATGCACCCAAGGCAAAGCCGGATTCAATTTATTCAAACCATTATATCCCACAGAAGGATTCTACTGGAAATGGAAAGCACAGGCCTTGGCAGTGCATTAATTTACATTTATGATAAGACAGTTTTGCTGGAGGTATTCGCTTATACAAAAATAATGGACAACCTCCACAACAGAAACTTAAGTATTCATCATGGACTTATGTGGAGTAATGACAATAACACCAGGAACTGAATTTGTATGTGTGTGCTGACCATGCAAGCTATCCTCTGGGAGGTCCACATCCAGCATGAGATCATTATCGTCCAAATCTCCAGTTCCCAGAGGGTCCAGGATTTTCAGGATGTCCTGCGAATCACAAAATTGTAGGTAATACTTCATTACACAACAAAGTTAGACACTGTGAGCACATTACAGTCGTATTATTTTGCAAAGGAAGCTGCAGCAAAGGTAAGATGACAAATGGCAGACAGAATACAGTGTTTGGCTGCAATTAATGAAGCATTGCAAGCATATACTGGCCACACTCCTCAAGGGTCCACACTGACATAATAGCATCACACAGTTGTTAATTCTCAACTGCACATCTATGATGCAAATCTCCACCACTTCCCAAAAGTGCTCAATTGAAATAAGATCGGATGGCTATAAAGGTTACTGGAGCACAGTGAGTTTATTATCAATATGGGGACACTAAGGTAATAAAGGGATGGACATTCTGAGTAACAACACTTGGGTAGGATGTTAGCCCGTTAACATTTGCCGCTTAAGCCTCGGGGCCATGGCTAAGGGGTTAAATATTGTTCAATTGGTATTAAGGGCTCAAGGTGTGCCAATAAAATTATTATCATTTAATTATTCTAACATATTGAGCCTCTCAGCCCAATGTGCTTTGACTACTGACATCAACATTTATTTTCGCCAACAAATCAGACACTTATGTATATTATAATTTTTCCAGATCATGTTTTTTAACCGGCTGCACGGTGGTGCAGTTGGTAGCACTGTGGCACCAAGAAGGTCCTGGGTTCGATTCCCGGCCGGGGGTCTTTCTGCGTGGAGTCTGCAAGTTTTCCCCGTGCATGCGTGGGTTCTCACCGGGTACTCCGGCTTCCTCCCACAGTCCAAAGACATGCCTGTTAGGTTAACTGGTCTCTCTAAATTGCCCTTAGGTGTATGAATGAGTGTGTGCATGGTTGTTTGTGTGTTGCCCTGCGATGGACTGGCGACCTGTCCAGGGTGTATCCCGCCTCTCGCCCGTAGACTGCTGGAGATAGGCACCAGCTTCCCCGCGACCCACTATGGAATAAGCGGTAGAAAATGACTGACTGATATTTTTTAACCTGTGGATGAAAATCCCAGTAAGTGAGCGGTTTTTGAAAGAAAACCATGCAACCATGATACATGCAAAGTACTTAAATGCTCAGTTTGAACATCAGCAAGTCGTGTTCACCCCATCTAGATGCCTAGATGCATTAAGTTGCTGCCATGGGATTGGTTGATCCACTATTTGGGTTAACCAGAAAATTACCAGATTTACCTGATAAAGTGGCTGGTAAGTATATGAGTTATATTTACTTTTGAAGGTCTATGGAATACAATTAATTTTTTTTCAAAGAAGGGTGGCTGTAATTAACATCACAACTGAACATCAATAGTTATTTGAATACAACCAAATGTCTTTCAATTCCCAAATCATTAAGCTAATTAGCAACAATTTATATGTGGTTTCAAGATGATGCTTTTCTCCAAATAGAATTCCAGTATCTACTGGATATGTATATCAGAACAGGCTTTTCAAAAAATATCAGTCGATAATGAATGATAACACACTTCGCTTTGAAAAGCCAAGAAAAACACTTCTCATATCAGCTTTAATAATGCAGTCTGACTTGTTCTGTAACAAATATTTCAAAGCATCTCAAAAGTGGAGAAAAGAATCAATAGTTCAAAGCGTTATTTTTCCAAGGCCTTTTTTTTCTTCTCTACGAAACTAAATAGTTCGGGTTTTGACTAGAATACACATATGCAAAATTAGTCATTAAATATACTGCGGTTGTCACAATAACTGACTGGTGCCGAGACTTCAGACTTAGTGATGAAGGAGATATTAAGGCAACATAATCAACAAAAAAAATATGCTTCTGCTGTCTTCCACATAGTGTCAGAGAAGACGTGGGTGGAATCTTTGTTTCTGAAGAGTCTGTAAACACATCAACCTGTTTTACCTGTTTTATTCCCTTTACTTCTTATTCTGAGATTTATGTCATCAACTTTACTTCAACCCTGTTGCTATCTTCAGTCTTAATCTTGTAACTCCCATCCTCGGGAGAAAACCTTTACGTTAAAGACAAAAAGTAAATAAACCATGATGGATGGATGGATTTCAAAAGATGCATTTTAACCTACAGAGACAGGAAACTACTGTATTAGTCTCTCACCTGCTTGATATTGAATGCATTTTGTTTTTTGTTTTTTTATATTAAAAGTATAATAAAACAATACAGAGATAAGGTGCATGTGCATCATCCATATATATTTTAGTTATTTTGTTGTCTGCCAGCAAAGAAAGTTTATATATCTACATCTTGGCCCTACAATTAAAGATAATATAAATAAACAATAACTGAAGAAAAAAGCTTTGGGAATGTCTGAAATGTAATTTTAAGTTCTGGTTAAAAGTAAAATAGGACACCCCCACATTTTTTCTACATTTAAATGAGCTAAAATTACACATCAGCACATAACATCTGGTGTGAATCATAAGAACATAATTCCTCTACAATTTCAAGGAGGACTGCCCTGTTTAAACCCGATATATAGTTTGGTTTCATAATTAAATCGAAACAGCTGACCCAGCCCTTCCAATAGAGGGCCGTAGCAGCTTATGGGTAAGGTAAGCGATATGAAGAGGTGTTAAAAGACGTTGAAATCAGAAAAAAACTGTAGGGGATATAGTCTACTAGAACTGCCAACATCCAGGTCTGGTTATCCAAGCAAGTGTGTCCTGAAAGCAGAACACAAGATCCTAAAAGAAGTCTTCAAAAACCCTAAAATGTAATCACGTGCCCTACCAGGTTCTTGCTACTACTGATAAGAAAGTACATGCTGGTACAATCAGAAGGAGACTGCACAAGTTTAACTTGTCTTGGGAAGTGTGCAACCTTTCCTCTCCAAAAATACTGTGAAGGGCACACTAACGTTTGCCAAAAAGAATGTAGAAAAAGACCAGGGCCTTTAGATTCTCAAAGTCCTCTCAGAGAGCTCCTAACGCAGCCTACAAATTCTTGATAAGCACTCCTAGCTTAAGAGTGATTCACCTCCCTGCTGAGAGCGACTCTGAGCGAGGAGACGACAGAGATTTCTATCTTAGTGAGAAGGTGTGGTTGACCCCGTTGCTAGGTGTGAAGCTGTCTTCTAATAGCTGTGATTGGTTGTTGCAAAAAAAACAACAAAAAAACAAATGCACGCCTAGTAATCAATGGAGAGAAATTAACCGATGATAGAATTTAGACTGAATTCAGAAATGTGTAAATCATGATGATAAAACTTAGCAAAAGTAAATGAATTGTCGCACAGCATCAAAATGTTTTAACGTAGCTTATTTACAAGGTCATCATTATTTTGATTTGCTTATGTTTACAGTTTGTTTACTCGACATGATGATGTCGAGTAAATTTGCTAATTATTGTGTTAAAAATGCATTTAAATCTCATGATATAGAAAAAGATGCTCTGCTGATGCTTTGATTTTGTAGGAGACAGAGTGGCAAAAAAAAGTATATCTTGTGGGAGTTTAAAAGTCTTAAATACAAGTAAGATCCTTTCTTTTCCGGCTCTTTGGATTTGCTGGTGATCTTGGTGCAGAGTGAGTTCTCTCCACATGCCAGTCTAATTCACTTACCAAACCATTTATGCAGAAAAAAGCAGCTATTTTATGACTGTAAAGACACTATTGTAGCAACATTGAGGAGGTCTATTTCAATCAAAGACATCCAAAGTCATATTCTATTAATAGATTAGCAGCAATGTTTTTACATCTGTTATGCATTCTGGTTGTTTGAGAAACTTCTAACTGAAGGCTATAAATAAGAACTTGACTATGAGCAGTTTCCGATCATCCATAAAAAGCTATGGTGGTTTTCCAGACCCATTGTCTTTAATGCTAAAGATGTTTTCTGCTCCATCACACCTGATTTAAGGTCTTGGCATACCTCTCCGTGCTGGTGGTTGCGAACTGCTTGTACCTTGCAGAGAAGGACACAACAATTTGTACAGTTTCACTCAGATTTGTACAGTTTTTTCTACTACCTCTTATAATGCGACAATGCCCTGGTTTATCTATTTAGAAGAAGACAAGATGAAAAGAAGAAAAGAACCAACAAGTACAACTGATAGATTTTGCAATAGTCTAGATTTCTCTAACAAAGCAGTGGCCCTATACAACAATCTGAAAAGTGGAAGCACATTTCAGCATTGTGCTGCTTCATTAATTGTGAAACATAGAGAAATCAGCACTCGACTATTATTCAAGAAAGTTCAAAGTTAAAACTTTGTCTAGAACAGGGTGTCAAACTCATATCCCCGAAGATCGGTGAACTACAACATTTTGATGTGTCCCAAGTCCAACATACCTGAAAAGGCATCTAAAAGTTGCAGGACAGCGGCCCTCGAGAACTGGGGTTTGACACCTGTGGTCTAGAATGGTTGAAAAATTCAAAAAGAAATCGCGATATTTGAGAAAAATGTGTTAATCCTAAGCGTAGCTGTAGGTGGGCGCACACAATTAGCATCTCAATTGTGGATGTGACACAAATTCGAGGACTTATCACCCTAAGGCATCATGATGTAATCAGCACATTACATTGAGATAATATTTAAAAATCTTTACCAACAAAGCCTAGTGATTCTTAAAGCTAGACAGTTTTCTCTGATTAATACATTATGTCCAAATTGCATACATAGGTACGAGAGCAGCAATAACGAGAAATAATGTTCAAAGTAGAACAAAGTGTTCCGAGAACGAGACAAAGGAATCATACTATACACAACGAAACAAGCAGTTTGTTTCAACTGAAAATTACACATTGTGTTTTGTAAATCTGGACTCCCTGCAGTGACATTGGTTATTCATTCTGGAAAGGAATACTGCAGCTCAATATAATGACTTTGTTTTAATAGATATAACAATTACTGTTTCTCCATCTACACAATTTCAATTTCTGCACCAATCACTGATAACTGGCAACGCACAAGAGTTTGACTATACAATTGGAAAAAAAAAAGAATTGAGAAGGCTCAGCAAGTTATACACATAAGGAAAGTCAGTATCAGACAGATGCTTAAAGGATCATCTGTATATAGCATTGGGATATTGGAGTTTGTAAAAATAACATTTCTTTTGGTTAAATGTTTTTGGTTCTGCGTTATGCAGACAAACATTCAGACACAGACACAGACACAGACGATGCAGAGCAAGCATGCTGAGCCAAACTGTTAAATGAATGATGGCAGCTGCAGCAGGGAGTAAAATAGAGTTAGAGAACCATTGATTCTGCTGTATGTTTCTCCACGATTTATCTATCTTTCAGATTTTCTTTTGTTTTGTTGACAGAACAACAACATGCTGTTGGGCCACAGTGAAAACACTATATAGGTTACATACTGACCTGCCACAAATGCACTGCTGTGATAAAAACGCAATGTTAGTTACAAACAGACTGACCTTTTAGATAAATAAAAAAAATGAAATGTGCCAGAACAGGAAGCGACACAGCAGACAATTCAGGTGTCTGACATGTCTACACATTGTTTTATCACTCCAAGGTGATTTTACTTGCCATAGTATGGAGGTATGTAGAACATAAGCTATACCTCTGCAGTTGTATTTATATCTAATAAATAAACAGGAAATTTGGTAAAACAATGAGACAAATTACAGCCAAAATTAAAATATTGCAGATAAATCCATGTTTTATCTCACAATCATTTTCAATTTGGCTGTAATCTGAAAGTGATTTTGACTTGTGTTCAAGTTCAACTGCTCCACAA